CCCATCTTATCGGACGGTGACACCTCCTCCCAAACCTAGCCTCCACAGGCACTTGAAGGCACTTTATACATATACCTATAGCCCCCCCCCCTAACCAAAATTTCTGGATCCGCCCCTGACCATTATCAATATATAACTCAACATATATTTTTTTATTAATGATTGTTTTATGATTGTATTCAATCCCCTGGGACGCCTGTAGACCAACTCCGGTCCCCACCAAAGAATTTGAACCACCTCGCAACAATCTATAAAATAAATTATTTTAATTTTAGTTGTAAATATTGTCAAACTAAATTTTATTTATATGGATAAGCGACTTGTACATATTAGGTTGATTAGTCGAAGATTGGATTGGCCTATTTTAATTTAAACACTGAAGAGGAACGCATGCGCGTTCGAAATATTTGTTTAATAAAGTTTTATATTTAAGAGTCAATTAATATCGATATATTCTGTGTTGCAACAACCAATTTTTCAATTATCTAAGTGGAACATATGTGGGACATGTCACATGATATACATTTCGTTGATCAACTGTGTTTCTATGTTTTTGATACGATTTATAACATCACGTTCCTATATATATGACACTGATTATTATTTACTTGACTTCAGTAGGCCTATTTGATAAAAGATACCGTAAGATAAGATATTAGGCAGTTTTCGCCGCACGACGGTAACCTTAACGTTAACTGATGACGTCATAATGTATTCATCTTGCGTTGCGGAGTACGTTAATTTCAGGATTTTAAGTGCTCGACGTACGTTAGTTACGGGTTTGCGCATGCGTATTTCGATTTGTTTACAAAAGGGGCGGAGCTATCGCGCTACAATTGAAGTAAACATATTAAAACAAGGATCAAACGTAGTAAAATACAATAATTACAATATTGACCCAACAACAGCCACCAAAACATTGCAACAGTCACAAAAGCTCAAAAACAACAGCAAAAAAGGGAAAAACTAAGAATATAGCACTGTTGTTATTATATTAGTTTGTATATAAAAAAAAATTATATATATACATAATAAATATATATGGGCCTACATATATATATATATATAGATGTGTATAAGAGACAGATATATATATATATATATATATATATATATATAGGCCATATATATTTATTATAAACACATAGGCCTATGTATATTAGCAAACTTATTAAGACTTAATGAGTACAGTAGACTTTCCTTCACCTTGAAACTTTCGCTATCCGACAAAACTAGCTATATAATCAGTAAACAGTAGGCCTGTCACGCTAAAATTGGTCCTGGCCAATTGGCGGCCATTATTAGTCGGGGGGGACCGATTTTGGCCGCTAAAATTTGTCCGGGCCGATTTTAGCCGCCAAAATCAGTCCTCCTTGGATAATATTGGTCCGGCCAGCTTTGGCTTAGCCTAAATCGTTCCGCCTACGCCTGCTACAGTGCTACACTAATACGGGTTTGGTCTCAACCAATCACAGCACAGTGAGTGGTTACTTATCGGTCCGCATAGAGAGAAAATCTTTTGGTGGGAAAATTGAAATTGAACGACCAATCAAAAGAAGATGATGGCTTAAGTCCAATCTGAAGCCTATTTCGTATACACCCCCAGTATAAGACATGTACCGTATTTCACAGTTGACATTATTTCGTATGAAAGAGGCTGGTACGTATAATAGATGGTAATATAAAAGGCTGTACTAACTTCGATTTTACTGTCCTTATAAAGACAATATATATATATATATATATATATAT